ACAGTAATTCCTTAGGTAATTACTTTTAAAATTATAATGTGGTTTCTTGGAAATCCTTAAACTGAAGTCAGTATTCATTGAAGTATGGTGATGAGGGGAGATAATTTTTTTTAGTTTAATTGAGCATTTTCCTCAAAAAAGTTATTTTTTGCAGAAACTGGAGTTTTGACTTGAAGAATTTTTGACTCCTGAACATGATCTTAAATGCCTCTCCCTGAAATTCTTTCGTGTTGCAATGAAATGATCAATAAACCAAGAACCAAAATTTTAACAGTAAAGTTTACAGGAGAACAAGTTTTCTTCCCTCTTAGCAAAATTTCTATGTCCTATTGGTTCTGGATTATTTCTCTCATTAGTCACTGATTAGAAGGGAAGGAAATACAGCCCTATTTCTAATGAGCACTAAGACAATAAACATGTGTATAAGACCCACATACATACCTAACCAGCCCTCAGCTTTCATTACCTAGATTGAGCTCTGCTTCCAGAGAAATTGAGATTTTTAGTTAATATAGCGAAGTGTGATTTAGAATTGGAGTAACCAAAATAAATCGAACCTCCGAAGTCTTAACTGCAACCGACTTCCTGTAGCGGATGAAGAAATTCTGCCTTCCTGTCGCTTTGGGTCTGTAATCTAACCCTTCTTCACATAATAAAGTAAATACATCCAGCCCTTGAAATGCATAATAAAGAAGTTTTATTGTGCAATTTCTCTGCAATTCCTTTGAACCTCATAATTGTCATTATTTTCTGCCACACCACGTGCCTTGCTGCTGGAAGTCTTTTCTTTTGGACTGACCCTCACAGCATGCTTCTTTGATCTCCATTTTGGGGTGGGGGAGGCAGAAGCCTTGAAGAGAGTTTTTATTACCAATCATCTCTAAGTGTATTATTAGAATGAGAGAAAAAGGTTTTAATAGTCGTTGGCAGGCTGGCCTTGAAAGGCATTAATATTTACTTAGAGCTGAGGAAACAATGAGCACTTTTACAAAGGGCACACACAGAGCTGCAGGGCATCGGCTGTGTGTGTGTGTGTGAGAAAGAGAGAGAGAGAGAAAGGACATTGTTTAATGTTCAGTTCCTACATAGAAGGCAAGGCTCAGTCCTTCTATCTCCAAGCAGTAGCTTTACGCTTGTCCACGTGGTGGCGCAGTCCCTTTAATAACTGTGTGTTCTCCGCCCCCCCAACACTACTTTCTGTTCTGAGGGTGACACTACAGAGACTCACCAACCAGTGCACAAAATGCAATTTTCACACAAAATTAGGTAAGAACAATGGAGTGGAAAGTGTGGGCTCTCCAAAAAGTTCTCCACATTTTGATATTTTCTGAAGAGCCATTACAACTAACCTTGTCAGGTAATTCTAATAGCTTTCCAAGTCCCACCTAACCCCACCCCAATTTAAATGATTTTTTTCCACAATCTTACATAAAATCGCAGCCGACTATAACCTTGGACTGTACTCTTATAGGACCTCCACTTTGGAAAAAAGATATGAAGATCGGCAAAACAATTCAACCAATTGAATAATAAACCTCTTTCAAAGGATGGAAAATAAGATGCCTGAGCAATGGAAGTGGGGTAGAAGGGGCAATCCTTTCTTAGGGCTTTTGACCCACACCTCACATCCAACAAAAGTCTCACATTTAATTTTACAAAAAAATCTGGTGATGTCCACACTCTCCATGATGGGATACTCTATTTGAAGGAAGACACTGAACACCCAGCTTTAAAGTCATGTGCTGTTACTGAATCCCATCAACTGAACACAGTGAATTAATGTTTCATAAGTCCTGTAAGACGATCTTATTGCATCCCAATTTCTCCACATTAATTTTTTACTCTAAGCATTTACATCAAATGAAATATATGTAAATACGTATATCAAATATATAAAATAGCACAATTTTTGTAATCTCATTTTTTACCTTTCATTCTTAATATCGTGAGATCTTGAAAACATTTAATTGGATCACTCTCAACCTCTGAGGTATTGCGGTAAAGGAGTAAGGAGGGAAGGGATCTAAGTCTGAAGAAAACACTGCATAGCAAGCATATTTAAATAGTCAAGCCTGTTTTTGAATGCCTTGGTGTGTAAATGGGTTTTGGAAGGCCTGTGACCCTCCTGACAAGGTGTATAGTTTTGCTTGTGTGTGTGTGTGTGTGTGTGCACGTGCGTGTATAGATTTGCCAACACTTGTCTGGATGAAGAAGCCACAGCTCTGAGGTCCAAGATAGAAAGAGGAAGCAGAGGAGAAAGGGAGGACAAAGAAGAGGATAGGAGGAGGAGGAGGACAGAACAGAGCTGGGATGTGAGACCTTTTTCCACATGAGTCTTCAAAAAGAAGAGGCAGTTAGCTACTTTGCATAACGCAAGAGCAAAAAGCAGCTTACTCTACTCACCTGTCATGGAAACCATCTTGTGGCGTTTATGCCTATGAGGAGAATACTTAAAATGCCGCAGGTGAGTTTAGACTGCTTCTCAAATATTTTTTTTTTTAAAGGTTTTATTTATTTGACAGAGAGAAAGACAGCCAGAGAGTGAACACAAGCAGGGGGAGTGGGAGAGGGAGAAGCAGGCTTCCCGTGGAGCGGGGAGCCTGATGCGGGGCTCGATCCCAGAACTGTGGGATCATGACCTGAGCTGAAGGCAGACGCTTAACGACTGAGCCACCCAGGCACCCCTGCTTCTCAAATATTAAAGTGAGAGAATGTTACCACTTTTCCATCTGTTATTTAAAAGAAATTCATGCTATTTTCAGTGTGAGGAAAGAAAGGAGCTTCATTTTCTAATATCATCAGGACTTCTAGATGCCCCAAATTGTAGAATTAGTTTCCACTAATGATAATTTCACAAGAAGCCACAAAGTGTGGACCATGATTGAGAAGGATACACTAAGTTCATTTGTAAGAGAAACAATGTACTGTGTTGTTCTTTGTTTTTGTTTTTTTTAAGTTAACCCCAATCAGGTCAGGCCAAGCAAAATGTAGCAAGCTGACATCTGCTGTTCGCTTCATGTTCCCAATAGGAAATTATGCTCTTCAGTCTGGTTCCATCTATTTGACTTTATTTGTCCTTTTGCATTTTATTTTATTTTATTTATTTTTATTATTTTTTGGTTACAATAACATTAGAGTCCCAAGTCTTACCCCAGAAATGTTTACAAGCAACTGCGAGGTCACATAAGTAAGCCAGGTCCCCAGAACTCCAAACCGTGGTTGTCAGAGCAGAGCACAGAGATAACAGCGGTCACCGTGAATGACACTTTGTTGTGCTTGTGGGAGGGGGAGGCGGATACCTTTCATAAATGTCTTTAAAATGCCCTGACACTGTGTCACAACGGGTTATCTGAGGTTTGGTTGTTTTGCAGTCTTCATTTGAGTCAGGATGAGAGAACTCAGATTGATTTGCTTCATCCCATCAGCCCAAAGCCACCAGGACCCTGGCAGGAAATCTATTCTGAGCTCTACATCATCAGCTCAATGCTACAAGGTGAGGAATGAAGGGTCACAGGCAGTTACACGACAAAAGAGGAATTGAAGTAGGCGATGGCCCCTAACGTTTGTTGCAATATAAAAACTCCTCAAGCAGTTGATAATAAAATAGCATCAGCTGACCTCCAGAGTTGATTAACCCCATTTTTTCCCTTTCAAGCTGAACAAAAGAGAAAGGTCAAGGCTCATGGAAAGGATGGCATTGCAAACTCGTTCTCATGATCTGTGTTCTGTCCTGAAGTTACTTAGTACATGCATAGCCCAGGAGTATTCAACTGGAGTACCATGTGACCCGCACAAGCACGAGGCACTCCTCTCCTCACAAACTGGGAGTCAACACTGTCTTCTATGCCTCACAAAGTTTCTAGAATTTCCAGGTTGCAGAGGTGTCTGTATTTGCTGCAGCCCTTTGCTCCCTCTTTAAGGCCTCTACTGGGTACATTCTGGGGACACTTTGCATCTATTCAACCCACCAGCGTTATGGAGGTCAAAGATCAATGTGAAGGTAAGCTCCCATGAACAGGAACTTTGTCTGGTTCATTGCTCTATCTTTGGCACATAGTACAGAGTCTAGCCCACAGAGATTCCTAATAAATGTAAGTTAATTAACTAAGTAGCATGAGGTGAAGGGGGTTGAAGGGTGGGTCAGGAAATAGGTGGTCACCTGAGCATTATATATTACCTGATAAATTCAACGCGACACCAACCTGTCAGAGGCCTGAGATTTCCTTGGTTAAAATGACCTATTTGGGTTAAAGTGTTGTTTTCAGGAGACTAGTAAGAGGTAAGCCATATTACCTGATGAATAGAACCACTATGGGCCTAGGAAGGGACATCTTCCAAGAGCAGAAAACTTTGAAGAGGCCCAAAACATTAAATGATTGAAAAAAGATCATAGAGAATTTTAAGCCCCTCCGCTCTTAGTCAATTTCTCCTTTTCTTCCTCTTCCCGAATTTGTGAAGTTCATGTGGGTTCCAGGGAAGATCTGAGACAAAGTCAAGGCTTATGGACGTTTGGGTGGGGGAACCCCATCCTTCACCCCATTCTCAGGTTCCTGGGGGGTGCATTGGTGCTGCTTGCCAGGGACCACTTTTGTTAGAATAATCTCCTCTCTCCTGATGTACACATAGAAAAGTGATTTCTGAGAGATTTTTCTCTAGACTGACGAAGCCAAGAAAGAAGGCAGAATCTTTCCGCTGGATATTTTCTTCCTTTTTTCTTTAATTTATCACCATCAATGAACACCCGCAATATTCGCTGGCTTTTCTAAAGGCTATGATGTAAGATGGATGAGCCTGAAATCGTATAGTGTACCGAGGGCTCTCCTCCCCTACCCCAGCAAATATACCATTTCATAACTGCTGAGAGAAAAACACTCCTCTAAAGTTAATTTGTTTCTTATTTTTATTACAAAGAGAAAACATAAACCATGACACCCACCATGTTGTGCTTTGAAATATGAAAGGCAAGGAAAACTAATTTGGGAATAGAGGTAGGTGAAGCACTTTGGATGAGGGATGAAATAGCCAAGTTGAAAGATTAATGCTATGGAGACAAATTGAAATCTAAAGTGAAAGTTTAGACAACAGTAATCAAAATGAATGATAATGGAAAGGCGGCAGGATGGGAACATTTGAGGCAACAATCTGATCTGGTTCAACCAGATACGATGGCTTTCTTGCACTTAATGCTAACTGCTTCCTACACCATGAGCGATGACCCTCCCTCTTATACTCAGAGAAAAAGAATAGAGAGTCATCAGAATGCATCACTATTTTTATACACGGTTAAATTAAGTATCCACATAATTCCATGTGAGGCAAATTAGGGTTGGTTTTGTCAGTCAATTGTTTGAGATTCCCAGGCTTGGGATATTTTTAAAACAATTTAATAGCCCAAGACTTCTCATGGCCCCAAGAGTTTTTTATCTCTCTACTAAGCATCCATCTAGACAAATAATTTCACATCATCAACATTAAAACTTGGAGATCTTATTTTGGTAGGATGTCCTCATATAATTTTAAAACTATAAATAAATTTTCTTACCTGGAAAATGCTGCAACATTATCAGCCAACGTTTCCTGGTCATTTGCCCCAGAAATATAATAGTCATATATAGACTTTGGAAGTATTGATTTAGCATGTTGTTCATAATCACTGATACAAACTAACCGCATAAACATTTTCACAGGTTACTGTCACCCCAGGTTTGGGGGGTTTTTTCCCTGCCTAGGCTTCTACATCCTGATAATTCCACTATTTGTCAATTATTAATAGACTTTTTCCAAAGTTCAGATTTACTTCTCTGTTGCTTACATTAAGTGAGCAAATATATGCTTAGATTTTGCAATTTCACTTGCATCCGTCTGCCAAAGAACAGCTACACCTAAGCCATGAGAAGGTGGGCTTGGGAGGCAAGAGAAGGGGATTAGTTGTCTGTCACATCAAAAATTTAGGACATAGAGAAGTACTTGCATGAATCCACTCTTGGCTTAGTTCTGGCTAAGGCTGCTTCTTCTGCACGTTATGTGCGTTTGCTTGAAACCCCGAATGGGCTGCCCACTCATTTTTCTTCCACATTTGGACCATGAACATATCATGTGACAGAGAGCTTATGGAATGAATGAGGCATCCAGTAAAAGCAGGGTCTCGATATAATATAAAATTCAGCTGATTATAAACATTTGGCTTTAACAAGGAACATTAAGCCCAAATTTACAGCTTATTCTTAGAGTCTTGTCTCACTCTGGGGAGAATATAGGGAGGTGCCATTCCAAAGACCTTGTGGTCTCAATCTAAAATTTCACTCAATCATGGAACACTTGGGGGGAGACTTGTATTATTAAGACATGATTCACAAAGCAATGGCTTTGACATCAGTCAGACCTGGGTTTCAGTCTAGGAGCCTCCACTTGAAGCTGCTCACCAGCCATTCGGCAGCTGGATTCTAACTGCCTACCTCTGTACGAGAATGTTCTCTTCAACTTGGACCCTGCTTGTCCATCCACTTGGCAGACCACAGTGCTAAGGAGTCAATGCTCCAGGGGACAGCCCTCCATCAAGTCCTCAACTAAGAACTCAAGGGAGTTGGTGCATAAATACCCGAAATCCCCCACTTCCCTAGTTCTCTCTTGCCACCTTCAGGTGCCCGCAGTGTTAGCTGGTTGGTAACCCAACCTGTGGGTTAGCTGCCTTCCCTTCCGATCTCACTTTCCTACCCTTTAATCAAAAAGCTTTAAGCTGTCAGGATTGGCATTGAATTAAACACAGGTTTATTCCAAAATTTCACAAATGCTTACTTTTTTGCATCAGTGTGATAATAGGTAAAATGACATTAATATTGCTATTGGAATGTAAATATCTGTTAAAATATTAAGGGAATCTTAAAAGAAATAACTCAGTTTTACAGTTACCAAAATCACTGAGAAACCTGATCTAAGGACTCTTAACTCTGTGGAGAACTAATTCAAAATTTGCAGATTAAAGCATGACATTTTCATTTGCAACTTTCATAATTGTTAAAACTGTCAGCACCTTGCAACTAATGTAATTTTGGTGCAGAGGCAACTTAATATTCTGTAATGAACCTTAAGCAGACCAAGTTCTGGTGAAACTAATCTTCACTAACTGGTGAAGATAATAAGGCCCAGTGCTTCTCATAATGTGGCCCTGGACCAGCAGGACCAGCAGCGGCAGCCTCACCTGGGAACTTGTTAGAAATGCAAATTCTCAGGCCCCCACCCCAGTCCTGCCGGATCAGAAATTCTATAGCTATTGTACCGTAACAAGCCTTCCAAGTGACTCTAGATGCACAAGATTGTGTGAGAACCACTGCTTTGGCAAGATGGAGAATAAAGGAAGATTTTGTTTTTAAAGGCTTGAACGAAAACAAAAAAATCCACTCTCATTCTATGCAATGGCAGCCTGACAGCTGATTTGGAGTACCACGTTCATGAATAAACTATAGTCCCCACTTTGCTTAATTAATCTCTTGGTGGAAAGAGCTAAAAGAAGTGGTTGGAGCTTAGAAAGCTTTTGTTAATTTATGATAACTACATTGTTTCAATACCTTACATTCTCTGAGAGACACGCACTCTCTCTAAGCCTCTGTGAAGTGAGATGCTGAGGGTAGAAGGTGACAAAACAAATTCAGTCTTTGTTCAAGGTGCGACAGGCTGCACTTGCCCACGTGATACCCCCCTTCCCCCCCAGTCTGGGATCAGGACTATAAATGCCATCGTAATAGCACCTGCTGGATTTGGGCAGTCTCCTTCTCAATGGCCAAAACATAGGGATTTTTTTTTTTCCTTGTACTAGACTCAGTAAAATCTTAACGTTCTTCCAGCTCTTCAGACTATCCCAATAAAATGTGCAGCAGAACCATGCCTCACCATCTCTACAACCCTTGAACACCTTCCAAATCATGGGGATCTTTTCTGCCTTCATTTCAAGGACAACTGCCTGAGCTGTAAAAAAGCGCCATATCCTCAACTGGGTCTTCACTCAGAGGTCTTAAGGTATGATTTAGACGATCGCTTGGAGAATGTCTTATTTCCTGTTTTTATCCTTTTTAGAGGCATTTCGTCTTCCCTGAGGTGTAGGGTTGGTGCAATCTCGGCCCCTACACTACTTCTAGGCACCAGGAGGGGCCGAGTTGCTGGTATCACAGGCACCAATGCCCGCAAGAAACCAACCTGCCAGGAGAGCTGGAGAGAGTGCCTCTCACGAGGGCAAAAACTATTTCATGGTGGGCGCCTGGGTGGCTCAGTCGGTTAAGCGACTGCCTTTGGCTCAGGTCATGATCCTGGAGTCCCGGGATCGAGTCCCGCATCGGGCTCCCTGCTCAGCGGGGAGTCTGCT